CCAATCAGGTTTTAAATGAAAGGCTATGTTCAGTTTGTCTAAACCGGGGTGTGCAATAGACTTACCTCCACGTGGTGCACCCTGGGCAACGTATACTTATACGACAAAAAGTCTATTGATCGGCAGTTGACTTCTGACTTCAAATTTCTATGGCCCGACTATTTTTCATGTTCGAAACCTTCCACAGTACTCATCTTACCTTTTTTATGCCTTTGTGTCTGTCTGTCTGTCTCTTTTACCTCTGTGAATCATTATTCTGTCTCCCATCTCGACTTTTTGTCACTTTGATGTCCCTTCTCCTCTTCATGAAGCCCCGAAGTCAGCTCCAGGGCTAATGATAACTATCAAAACGCCTGCCATTTGATATAAATAAATAAATAAAATAAGTTTGTCTAAACCAAGCTCATAGGATTCATTTCAAGTGAACTTGAAAATCGATTATCGATTCCGCCGCTCTCGTGTTGTTCACTTATCAGACAACCATTCATTCCTAGATCCATATAATCAAATTTTTAATGCAAATTCATTAATTTTGGGGAAATAACAAACACAGCCAAGTATTTCTTCCTGTAGATTCTATCCACCGCTACATAATATTAGATTAAAATCAATTTTGCGCAATTTTAACGAGTGCTTCATATTTTGAATGCCTGACTAAATCGCATTTTATATGTTAAAAAATGTTTTGCAATATCCCTTTTTGTGGTATTTTGGTACGACGATTTTCAATGAAGATACCTCGACATTTGAATATCCAAGAATAGGAAAAGTACCTACCTTCACCATGAATTTTAGAAACGAGTTGAATGGGTACTAATGCTACAGTTCGTACTTACAGAAGGCTCATCGTATGCTTAGATTCATGCACAGATGGTTATGAACCATCATCTAAGTAAAGATTACGCGCGGGGGGCGGTTATGGTACTTCAAAAGATTAATATTTTTGAATTTGGGAATCTAGTTAATTGAATTACTAGGAATTTCAGAAAATGACAAAGAAATGGAATTCATAAAGATACAGAGGGCAACGTCAAGGTTTTCAAAGTCTTTCTGCAATCAATTTATGGGTTTGAGTTGAGCACCGTTTACAAACTGGTTGCCTTACGTTCCAAAATTCACATTGTCTGCATTCTAAGGCGATTAGTTTGGCTTTTTTCGTTGCTCTTAAATTGTCAGTCTTGTCTCTCACACTGATTGGGAAGGCAGTGCTCTTGGTGAACATTCGATAGCACATCCTTTTTAAAAGTCAGTGGTAAGATAGCTAATGGCTTTTATCTAATATAGCACTCATAGTAAGTCTTAACATCTGCATGATTTCCTATCATTTCGAAATCAAATCTCGAGTGAACAATATGAAATGCGTAAAAGGCCTTTCCTAAACCCACCCCCCCCCCCCCCCCCCCAAAAAAAACATGACCCGTAGAAATTATTTTGTAATTAAAATTCGGACAAGAAATAAGATTTCAAGATAAAATGTCAAAATACTTGAATTTAATAGTCGAATTTGAGGTGAATTTGAAAGATAGTGGTGCTTTTGAGTCAATTCAATGGATATCTTGTGGAGGTGAAAACTGCTTATAGTTGGAACCTAATTAATTTTAATGCTCTGAATCTTTTCGGCTATCTATTGTAATGAAAAGTATTACCATTTAAAATATTGCAATTTAAAATATTTCCTAATTTTCGTGCAGATATTATTCTGATTGCTCTCAGCTCCATGCATTATTCTAAATACTAAGAGCCGAACAAAATTTAATTAAACTTGAACTATCTTCAATAATTTCGCTGAGTTCATATATGTAATATTTAAAATATTATTTCTTTAATTTGATTTCTAATAGAAAAGTTGTCGAATTCCCTTAAATAAATGCTAACTGTGAGTTTATTCATTTTATTTAAAGCTAAGTTTCTACCTTTTTCTTTTATTTAATCTTTTTTAGGGAATATAATATTACAATACTTTCACTTTACACAATTGCCGCTATTCATATCGAACCATCAATAATATCGATAATCGACTAACAACGAGTATTTTTCGATGTTTGCAAGTCGCTAAGTCACTAAAATTTATGCTTCAGCGTAGCCTAAACTACTATGTGCTTACAATTGACATTGAATGACTTGACATTTAAATTCTGTATGTCTTGACTGTAGATGATTGTGCAATTGAGGTCAAAAGAAATTCAGCATTCAAGTACGAGTGAAATTGAGTTTAAATCTTGAAGAAGGACTTAATGACATTCCACCTAGATTGATGAGAAATTTACTTGAGTCATATGTGTCCTGACATTGCAGCAAACAGTGCTATCTACAACTGCCACTTATGACACTCATCTGACTATGACCAATTAGGCGAAAAACTAATCACAACTATTGGGTCAGGTGTTGTCAATCAAATTTACTTAAGGTGGAACATTTATTAGTGGAAAATTTTCCTCACTAATTGGGCTAACTTAATAAGCAGTTTAAATCTATGCCTTCCATTTAATTATACAAATAAGAAATACATTTACTAAATGAAAAAACCGATTTATTAAAATTGAAATGAATTTTTCAATAGCAGTTTTGATGAATATGTATTAAAATCACTCGTTGAATCACGTCCATGGTTAATCATCATGGGAGATTCCTCGGGCCAATTTGTTGCAGTTACTTTTCCAATATACGAGCAGTTTGAGTGGAGAAATAAGTGCATTTCTTTGTTGCCAATACAAGTAATTCGTCCATTAGGCACCAATTTGTTTCTGGCGGGTGGGGTGGGGTGGGGTGGTGGAGATGGATGATTTATGATCCGTTATTTGGGAGCAAATGATTGTCACAACATCAAATACCCATTCCATCCCTGAGGCAAAGTGCGATGGACAATTTGAAAGCTTGTTCTTTGTAATTGGTAGGATGTTTGAGTAATGATACTAAACCTGATTGAAGCAGTTACAGATGGAGTTTACTGCTGTCGAAAGTGGGAAGAATACGGCAGAAATGAATATAAAAAAAAACTTGTGAGTTTATCTAACAGGAAAGGATCATTCTCTAGTACAGCTATGCTCAGTGGACCTCACAAAGCAAGACCGACCATCAAACAAATTTAGGTTTTAAAGTGCTGGTTATCAGCTAATCCTCTATACGTGTCAGACCTTTTTCAACTCCATTAACAAATTTTTTAGTTTCTTTGAACGCATTTTAAGAATAAAAAGGTTAAGAAATTTCATTACAGAGATATGGCAAGAACATTGGAAAAAAGTTACAAATTTTGGTGAAAATTATCATTTATAGATTTAAGAAATAAGGAAAACCCTGCTGTTTTATTGAGGTACTTGATTATTATTGGTACCGCAGATAATAAGCCTGCTCTTGATTATTATTTAGAAAGTAAATAGGCAACCTTGTAGGTTAGGAGTGTCTGATTTCAAATTTCCATCTCTGCTTGTACTTTTTAATAAATAAAGGAAAATGCAAATGGAAAAAATGCGTATGTCTGTTATTTTTATCTTTTTCAAGCATGCAACATCAGTACATCTGCTCAAATCGCCTTCAAAATGCCATCCAACTTTGAATTTTCCAACGGTCAAGTTTCGCCATCCAGTTCTTCCTCCAGCACTAACACCTCCATTCCTCCTAAAAATAAAAGCATCTTCGAAACGCTATTAGAATCCAATCGGATTGAAGTGCGGCCCTTCTTCAAGCCTGGGGAGAAAATCGTTGTTGCTGCAAGTATGAATGGTGGGAACGTAATCGAAAGATTCGTTAAGATGCTTCGTTTTTGGTGCCGTCAATTGGGTTGCCCTGCTGTTGAAACCACTCAGGTCCGTTGTCTGTATTTATTTTTGGGTGGTGGAAGCCTGCATCAACATTTTACATTTCCAAATATTAGTTTATGGAGGGAGAGGAGGGGAGTAGCACTTTTCTCTTCTAAATTTAGCCTCTTTCAACTTTTGTACGACTTGAAAATTATGATTTTATATTTTCAGAAGCACTTCATTGATCCTAGTGCGGAATGCTAATGAATATAGTATTATTTGTTCATTTGGTAATTCAATTGACTTCAGCTCAACCAATAGCAACGTTGTGATTGTTTTAATTGGCATATACCTATTCCAGTGCTTATTATAACTTTTGATATCCAGATATAAATTCAACTCCATGTCTTATCTATTGTTCGTCGGTTTTGGTCTTTTGGATAGAGTTTCCGGTCTAACTTAATTAACCGCCATAGCAGTAATTGAGAGAGCAGATTTCCCAATTAAGCCGAGTTTAGTTAGGGCTTTCCGTACTGATTTTGCTATTTTAAATTAACCGCCTTCTTTGTGTATTGCATTCAAAATAACAAAAAGGATAAATTTGAATGAACAAGAAAAGCCAATAATATGTAGATCATTAAAAAATCTTAATCGTTTTAATGTATGAGATTATAATGGATGTGCACTTAAATAAAATCTAATTAATAACTTTGCAAATCTCTCAATTTTTATAGAACTTCAATTACTAATCTGATCAGTGGATTATAATTTCTAAAAAAACAATATTAATAATATATCTTTCCATAATTCTTTTTGTATCTAATTATGTTCATTTAACGACAATGATTACTTAAGAAAGTTTGCAAAAAAATATTAGACAGGGATAAGCGGTGGAAGTGAGTATTTCCAATTTCATTAAGTCCTATTTTAATGCCATTCATTTTGGGTAAGGTGCCTTTTGATTTTTCACTTTTTCATACTTTTACCCTGGTAACAAGAACGCATTTTATTACTTACTGGGGGACTGGAGTCTACTAAAGGCCTTCCGTTCAATTATTCCAGAGCTGTATGCACACAGTCACATTTTTTTCTCCTAAACTTGACCTTCCTTCAGGGTAATTCGCCCTACCTCCGAGTTTGAATAGGTCACTGGAGGTAGAAAAATTCTTTTACTTTTCAATTATTGCAAATGAGATATGCATGAAATTGGATTGTTTGTCTTCTTTCTAGAGAGCACTTTTAAACTTTTTAACCAATTTGAATTGGGAAACAATACGAGTTTTATTCATCTCTGGTTTAGAGACGATGATTGTCATGTTGACCTTATTTTTTCAAAAGTTTCACTTTCGAAAATCACGTTTTGGCAAATAAAATTTCCGGAAATCTATTTAAAATGTATTTTTGGCACAGTGTCGATGTTGAGACGTTTCTAAACTGAGTCATTTAATAGAAAAAAATATAAGATCCCTTCTCTTTGATAAAGAAGAAAGTGCTATATATATATATAT